AGTGGAAGAAGCTATTTTTAAGTCAGAGGGTGACTGTTTAGGAGAAAATGGCAGGGGAAAATCTGGATTTCTTTTACTAGTTCAAAACATTGTGCTGACAGTTAGATCTATACCTTTTTATGTGTAGTTGAGAAATAAAATTGATATGCAGGGAGCTCAACATAAGCTGGTCTGTCTGAGGGAAAATTCAAGTAATGGTGAATAGCCGCTGCCTCCTACTGTGACATCCCGTCATTCCTCTGTGATCTGTGGTGTGATCCATTCTTCGAAAACAGTGGGCTCTGGATAAAAGGTCCATCTTGATTGTGAACATTTTGGCTTTAGTCAAGCATTTAGTCTATAAAAGTTACTTCCATGAATTTTTCTGGCTTTATATAGTTTTTCATTTGGATTTCACTCCCAGCATCCAAATCTGCCAGCTGGTCATCGCTCGTGCCGCTATCCGCAGCCCGGGGAATGACAGACTTGTAAATATCATGGAATTATGTAAGAAATGTCTGGATACAGTGAGCGCGGGACCTCAAACATGTATATGATTTGTCAACAATCAAGTATTATATTAGATTTTATGAGACTTCATTAAAGGAGCTGTTGTAGGCGTGCTGTAGAACATCAGAAGAGACTTCACCAATAAACACAGAACTTAAAGCTTTGGAATGTAATAAATTTTAAGAGACTTCCTTCCTTTCATTATTTACTTTTACTTCACTTTTATAACAGTAGAGAGTTGTGTTTTATTAGTTCAAATTTCTTGATTCAGTTTTCCACAGGTCTGTTTAAAAGCTACATTTTATCTTGGAGGATGTTTGGAGCATAGCAGAGGAAGTGCTGCCAGCAAATTCAATTAACTGGCATGGCTCACAAATAGCGTACATGGTGTATTTTTTTTCACAACTGCTATATAAATACAGCTGGGATTAATATTTGTCGCAACAAAGCCTTAACTTGAATCGTGTCGCGTTGTGTAATTAATGTTTGGGATCAGTGTTTATGTCTTATTTAGCTTTGTTTCGTTATTTTAGTTACCTAGATAATGAAGTATTCTCCTCCAGGTCTTTTCCTTTCCTTCAGACTGCTTAATATTTGGCTTTGACCACTAGAGAGCAGCTGCTCTTCTTTGCAAGAATTGAATTTCTGTTAGTTCTTTCATGCATCATGTGTTTGGAACTGTAAGTGGATCAAGTTGTTCATCTCAGCAGGGAGACTCTAAAGCCAATCCATTATACTTTTTTTTTCTTCTCCTTTTTTTTTCTTTTGCTTCCCTGGGAGGATGGGGAGATTCTGGGAGTGTGTCTCCCCACTGGTCTCAGTCTAAACAGATGCATTTATGGTCTGAGAAACTAAAAATGTCTTCAGCAGTTTCATGATCATACATGGCTGTTATGTCAAACTGTTCTGCCAGTTTTGCTGCTTCATGTGAACAGCGAGCAATTCATACACTGCTGAACAGACACAGAATTTACTTTGCTGAATTAAATCTGTATTCAACAGTGAGGAGAAACATCTTCTGTGTGATGCATTCGCCATCAGGTAATTAACCCAGTGGAAAATTTTTGAAGCTGTTTTTCCCCTCTCCTCGAGCAGCTTTTTTAATCAAGTAAAACAATGCCATGAAGTCCTATGATTATTTTAGAGCTTCAGGTAGTGGGTTGTGCTTGAGTTTCATGATGGTCATGTTGCCACCTAAACTATTGATTCTCAGAAATCTAGAATGAACTATTCATTAATCTTTTACTCCTAGGATCCAAACAAACATAGGCTATAGTGAAATGCCTTTCCACTTAACATTTGCGTCACAGGAGCTGGGCAGCGTTGAGGCAGGTCCAGCAGAGTCAGGTTAGGTCGGTTCTTCGCCCCGGTGTACCGCGGCGGTACCTGCTAGCAGTCAGACTTCCCGAGCTGCTCAAGTCAGATCCCTGAAAATCAAGGTGTGTACTACTGCATTACTGATTAACTATTTGAAATGTGAAAAACTGCCCCTCCTTTGCCTTCTGCTTCTGATATGTTGCTGAAAATTTGGCAGCATGAGAACGCCCTGGGAAGTAACTTTCCTTTTAAAATAGTCAATATTAAAAAAAGAGATTTATTAAGGACTGTGATTACAATAAGTGCATCTGCTGCTGACAAGTCTCCTACACCACCGTCTGTGTTGCAAGGAATAGCAAAGAGGGGGTAGTAATTTTTTTTTTATGCAACCCTTATGGATTTTTCATGTATTTCCAAATAAGTGTCATCTTCTAGTCTTAGTTGTAGTCAGAGCTTCATATTACAAGGAATAAAGCATAAGCTCGCTCTGTCAACTTGTAGTTTTTATTAAATGAAGCCCTGATGCAATGCAGTGTACTGCGCCAAAGAGATCTTGCATTTCTGATGGCTGTGAGAGTATTGTAAATTTGCACTAGCCTATGAATATCTGAGGCTGTCAGTAATTTAGCTGTGTGTGCTACTGTTGTCCATTCATTAACAAGTTACCACAAGTAGGAAGCCTATGTTACTGTTTTTCACTTAGTGGGAAATTAACTGCTTTCAGGACAGCAAGAAGTACTAAACTGCAACTCTATAGCAGAACCATTTTCTTAAAGGTGAATCCATTTTTATTTCTTACACTGTGTTTGCAATAGAATGTTTCTTGCTTTATTCATGTTGACAACTGAAAAGCCTTGGACCTAATTAAAAGAATTTCCACTAGCACCTTTACTGAACCATTTCATTATGCTGCATTGCACAGATTGCATTTTGAAACATGGTGATAGTTTAAATCTGACCTTTAAACCTGAACTGCCAGAAGTATAAAAATCTTCTTTAAAAACACTCTCAGGGTAGACTGCATGTATATGTGTCTGTTTGGCTAGAAATAATCTTCATATTGAGTGGTCACAATCTTATTTTTTTTAAAGTATTACTGCCTCTTTAGGCAGGAAACATTCATAATTCTACTTGTATAATCTACTTTGTCTTATGTACTAATTTATTCCAGAGTAAGCATGAATTATTTTTTTCTTACTTGTTAGTCTCTTTAAATACGTTGCCGTTAACATTTTCTTTTTTTAAAAACTATGACATGCCTGTTGCAAGAGTCCTGACTGAAAAAGTAAAAGTGTGCCTATATAAAATAGACATCCTACAGTATTCGATTTAGTCTTGGAAGAGAGCAAATGATCTAAAAGCTTAAGGAATTAGCAAAATACCTACCGATATTCTACTTCTCTACCAAATAGGGAAGCTGAAACACAGAAAGGCTGTGACTAGACTTCTGAACTTTTAGTTTGTTGTAAAACGAAGCATAGAGCCTTTTCCTTCTATATAGATGGCAAGTTCTTTATCTTCACATGAATGTTTAAAGAAAACCACTTATAAAAATGTTTGAGATGGATTTGGAAGTTACTCAGAGCTATAGACATTTTATTGCATTTTTAAGAACTACCTTTAAGTGGTTTACATAAGTTAATATAGGAAATAAACACATACTTCATCCCTACGACATCAGGCTCCTTCAAACATGGAGAAGTGTGCTGTTCAGGTTTGAAACTCTGATGAAGCTTTTACATTTTGAGAATAACAGAGCTCCTTGAGAGACATTATCTCAGTGAGTAGGAGTGAGCTTATTTTATGGGCAAGATAGACTAAGTCCGCTATCATGTATTATGTTAATATGTGCTTATGGGCTCATTAATGCATGGATCATTGGCGTAAGCCACAGCATTCAGATTTATAAACAATGCTGGGCACGCTCTTGATTATTTCTGTTATACTAAATAACTGTAATGAAAATCCTTCTACAAGAGAAGCTGCAGGAAAGTAGTAAAATTAGCTGCAGGAAAAAGTAAAAGGAAATCTCTTTGCAACTGCTTTGGTAAACACGAGTGCAAATATAACATCTAGTTTTAAAAGAAGATAATGTATTGCACAATATGGATTATATATGTGACACCTGTACAGCGAGATGAGGAGTCCCTGTCCTGCCCTCGCCAAATGTAAGACTACTGAAGGTGGAAGTGATGGCTGTGCTTACAGGAGGGGTAAAGCTGAAGCACTCGAGAACAGTTGTTCAGGAAAACCAGCCTGCCGTTTGCTACTAAGGCGGGCTGGTAGCAAAACCCCGAGGCAGAACAAACTCATCCGCTAGGATTTTGGAGATATGGATGAGGCCAGAATAAGCTTTTGTTATGAGCTGGAGGATGGGGAAAAGGTCTTGAAAAAGAATTTGAACACTTGAACCATCAGCTTATATTTCATGAGGTATTATTGGTACCCTCAGAAAACCACAGTTACGTTCACTACAACAGAATCTGCTTACTCTGTGAATAATATTCTTAGGACGTTTCTTGCGTAGTGTGAAGTATATAGAGCTACCCCAATGGAGTTTTTCAGAATAGCATTTGAAAAAGGACAATTTGCTAGTTATTGATGGAATTATTTCTGTTAAATTCGTAACGTGGATATTTATGGAGTCATTCCTGTTCTCCTGCACATCAAGATGACTAGGGATTTCCTGGCTTTCTGCTTTCCTTCTGGAACTGTGGCTCCTTCCTGTCTCTGCGTGAGGCATCTCATCACACGTGGGTTTTGCACGTGGCATGACCGCATCCTCCAAAAGCACTAGCTGAATTTCTTTCAAGAATCAGCGCCCAGATTGTTGGTTTTGTATTGCTGTGTGTTGTATGAGATCTGTCTCAAAAACTTACCTTGTCCTGGTTCTGTCTGCAACGCCAAAAAATTGCTACTGACATAACTATTTGTTAATGATTTAACGTAACCTGTAACCGTTGCAGCACAGGCACAGCAAGCTTGATGTTAATCTTTGAAAGGTTTTTTTATCTCCCTTCCCAGCTTGTGTTTGGGAAAGAAAAACGCTGTCACTAATAATAATACATAGATACACAACCTTACTTCAGTAGTTACTGAGCTCTAAGCACTAGAAAAGAGACGTCAAACTAAGTCACAACCTTCTTGTGTGTATGAGAAATTCTGAAGCGCAGAGAACAGTAATGGATAACCCTCTAAAACTTCAGCCCTTGGTGTACACAGAAAACAAAGAATATTCAGGTAACCTGGATCATGGTAGTTTTAAGTCTGCCTGCATAGAAATGTGTTTAGTTGATATTTGCTAAGTTGTGATCGGTAAGTGTCTCTGTGTAAATGGTAATGAGACCGTTAGGGCTGTGTTCGCCTAAAGCGCAGCTCTCTGAATCCTGAGGTAATTAAACACCTCCACAGTGGAAGGGAAAGGGCAATGAGGGTTAAGAGGAGAGCCATCCTGCGCACAGGTGGTTTACATCTCTTGAGAAACAGGAAGAAAAAAAACTTCAGTAGATACTGACCAGTTTGAAGGACAGAATGTTGTTGCTAATTTGAGACTTTTAAGAAACTGCAGGTTTTGTTTTCTGGATTGCATTGGGTGTCGGTGGCGAGGCGTTGGCCGGGAGGCTGCAGGGCCTCTGTGAGGAGAGGCCGGGGCAGGACACGGCTGGTTCCAGCCAGTTCCAGCCGGCTCCGCAGCAGGCCCCGCCGGGCACAGCTGAGCCCATCAGCAAAGCTGGCGGTGCCTCTGTGAAAGCATAGGTAAGAAAGGGCAAAACGCTCCGCAGCAGAGTGAGGAGTGAGTAAAAGTGTGAGGAGGAAGGAGCGGCAGAGAGGAACTGTTGCGGACAGAACGCAACCCCCATTGCCGTCACCCTGTGCTGCTCAGGGAGGAGGTAGAGGAGTCGGGAATGGAGGGGGGAAGTTCAGCTGGAAAGAAGGCCGGCGGGGGGAGGAGGAAGGTGTTTTACTTTCTGTCTTTGTTTCTCACCATCCAACTCTATTTTAATTGGCAATAAATTTAACTTAATTTTCCTAAGTCGAGTCTGTTTTGCCTGTGATGCTAATTGGTAAGTGATCTCCCTGTCTTTCGGCCCACGAGCTTTTTTCTTCGTGTTTTCTCCCCGAGTCCCGCTGAGGAGGGGGAATGAGAGAGCGGCTCGGTGGGTGTCTGGGAGCCAGCCAAGGGAACCCACCAAGTGCATAAATAAAACTCTCATTTTGTTATTTTCCATTAAGTCTCTGAAATACAAGGGAATATAGCCTTAAAAGAAAAAAAACTTGTATTTGTGGCAAACAAGTTTTTGAGACCTACAGAATTTGTTCTTAGCCTTGGTGATGGATGGCCTGATTATGCAGAACAGTTTCTCTAATGTCTGATGTTTGAGTTAATTTAGCTGAAATTCTTTCATGGATTCTAATCAAGAATGACACAGAACTTCATGGACTACCTTTAGAAGAGTACTCAACAGCATGTTAACGGTGGATTTTAAGTAGGAGGGAAGGTTGAAACGAAGCTTTTATTTTCCTATTGGTTTCTGAATAGAATCCAGTCGCATCTTAGAGAAGCAAAACAGCTTGAAAAGTAATGCTTTTAGAACTGAAAAATTCAACTCTGAATTCACAATGTCATTTTTTTGTCATAACTGCTGCTGTGGTTAGCACATTTTTCATTTCGCTGTGCCCCAATATGTTAAGCTTTGTTTGTGATATGAGAGCGATCTAGACCTGTTGTGTGATTTCAGGTTTCTGCACTGAAGAACAGATTGAAGAAAGTCTCTACAACCACTGGAGATGGCGTTGCAAGAGCATTTCTAAAAGCACAAGCATCTTTCTTCGGGAGCTACAGAAACGCCCTGAAAATTGAACCTGTAAGTAGGAAATTAGTAGGCATAAGATGTAAATCCGCAGCTCTGGTGGGGGAAAAAAGCTAACAAGAATTCAAGGTGTAGTATAACACACTTTTAGTAAGGTCAGCATTGTGGCTCTTTGGCCGAGTAGTACTGAAAGCAGTGTGCCAGTCTCCAAAACAGAAAGAGGTGCCACAAACATGGTCAGTCACACAGGGAGAAAACTTCTTATGGAAAGGTGTGGGTGTCGCTTGTTTTTGAAGACAGTTACGTTAGAAGAGAGATGGTAAAAAAGTATAAATTAATGATCATAGGAGGCTAGTGCAGAGTTGACCATTTTCTCTCACTGCAAAACCTGGGTATTCATTGTATTACTTTTAAAGGTAGTAAAAGATATACTTTTTACACAATATATGCTTAACTGTGAAACATGCAAGTTTATGGAATCACAGAGTTTAAGAATATAATTAGTAAAGAAATGTGCTTTTACAGAAATATGAAGAATGTCTGGAGTTATAACTATTGACGATAAATGTTCTGTTAGGGAAATTCAATCTCTTGCTTCTGGTTCAGAGCTAATCTCTATTTAGCAGTGATTAAGTGCCATCTGAGTGGGGGAAGGATTTTTCTGTACTTGATCTCGGGTTTTATTGCTTCTAGTGAGGCATCTGTTCCTGGCTTACTGTGAGTAGCTTCATGGACTTCAATACAAATCAGTCCAGCCAAATTAATGTATTTCCACATGTTTTGTGACGCTCTGGTTTTGCTACCGTGTACTTAGGGGGTTCCTTTTAAAGTGCGTACATTTTGCTGACAGAGAGTTAGAGGCAAGGTAACTAGTATGAGGCACATTCGGGTATAATTCATGAGATATGTCCCAAAAATATGGAGGCTGAAAAGTACTAACTGCAGAGTGATCCACATAATATTTCAAGAATATTTTATGTTCCCTATTTCTGAAGCAGGGGAAAACTAACATGCGTGCAAGTCAAATGCAGTGATAAATCTCAATGTGGTGTCCACGGGCTCATTTGAACTACTGTTGTTTAGAACTCTGGCTGCTTAACAAGATCATTTCTGGAGAGGACAAAACGTACTTTTGTCTTAATACCTTCTTCTCGTCTGTAAGGATTTGGAGGCAGAATGGAAAATTGGTGGTAGCAGTGGAGAGCTTGAATACCACTGGGAGATGCTAAGATGAATTCTGAGTGTAAGTGGGGAGGCTAAATGAGTGGAGTGAGAATGAAGGCTTACTAGTTGAGAAAAGGTGTTGTATTTTGCATGCTACTGCTCTGTGAAGATTAATGAAGAGATCCAGCATGCAGACAAGTAATAAATCTAATTTTAATCATGATGTTAAAGGAAAAGACCAGAAGTTGGACTGCGGGCATAGTGTTTCTTGAGGTTGAGGATGTTTCAGTAACTAAAGTCTCTAAAGTACTATAGTTTGTCTTGTTATTTTTAAAGCCAGAAGGAGAAAAGAGCTCAGTCTGAATTTTAAACAGTCCAGTTATCACCATCAAACAAGCATTATTCCAACAATTCATATTCAGGGTTCAAAAATTACTTTTGAAGTCAGCATGAGTCCTTCCACACCTTACTAGGGGAATCCACGTGTCGTGTGTGTGAAAAAAATGAATTGTACTGACTTGTGTATGTCTGTCTGGGTGTAAGTATTGGGCTTTTAAAGCATCTAAGGTGAAATAATGAGAGGTATTTAATTGTCCGTATAAATAACAAAAATGAAACCAGCAAGGCACTCTGGCTGTAAGCCTCCTTTATCCATGTCCGGGAGACGCTGACTTCCCTTCATCCATGCAGGCTTCCTTGTTCTCCGATGCTCCTCCCAGTAGTTGCCAGGCAACTCTGGGAATATTGGTGTATGCTTTGCCTGGATGTGTGTGTGAGATTAACTAGTTAAGGGATTTATGAAGAAAAATAAAAATTTAAATTGCTTTTCTGGAAATACCATCTGGTATTTTGAAGGCTGAATGTTAAAGATGAACATTCAAAATCAGTTGACAATGGCACCCCTAGAAATTGCAACTTTGAGGGACAGCTAACCTGAGGAAGTAGAAGAAATTGTGTGATTTGCTTATCATTCCATCAAAGAAAACTTGTAAACATAATTGTACAAATATGTCGTAAAATCCAATTTGAATAATTAGGAAGTGGAAATTGTCAGGGCTTTCTTTCCCAAGTCCTTTTATAAATTAAAAATTTAATTTCTGCTTGTACATTTCAGTATTAAGATTTAGATAAAGAAAATTTGCAAGTGTTTCATGTGCTGAACCTGTCAGAGTCAAATGACCTGCATTCTGTTTCCAGTTTTGCCAGAGACATCCTGTGAGGTATTGGACAGGTCGTACAACTTCTTTATACTTCACTTGCATTTTAGAATATACAGTAAATGCAATTACTGAGAGACTCTTGTTACTGTTAGGAACATCACACTTAAAAATTCATTCAAAACCCTTGGAAAACCTGATCTTAAGAAGATGCAGGAAAACTCCAAACAATAGTGTGTAATGAGTAAAACAATTAGGAAATGTACTTGCTAAGTTCACAAAAGAAAATGGGATTGTAATTTAATAACAAAGCATGGTAACTGGCAATTAGTAAGGCACCTTGCAATTTAAAGCCCCGTGTTTCTCTGTTGTGCTGTGCTTCAAGTGCTGCGCTTGAAATAGTCCTCTGTACTCCGAGGTAATTCCATCTTTGGCAGAGCAATCGTCTTCGTTGTTATTTCCTGTCAGCTGGTGAGCTCGGTTTGCTGAGTTTGTGGATTATACACTCCCAGATATTCAAAGCGGTCATGATACACATCTTCTCATATAAATACGGAATGACGGGAGATTCTTGTTGAATAGTGGAAAAATATTAAAGTGTATGTGGCAACTCTTTGATTGCTCTCCGCTGATGTATCAGAATCCACAAAGACCGCAGTGACTGTCATTATTTGCTTTAAAATTTTAATGTCTGTTTGGAAAAAATTATTTTGAAACCGTTACTGGTTATTACAGTTGCAAACAAAATCATTTCAATGTGTCTGGGACAAATAGAAAAGCAAGTGGAAGAAATAGCTTCTAGGAAAAGAACATATTTTCAAATACCTCCATTGTGTGTTTTTTCTCGTATCACCTTCACATGTCATCAATATGGGGTATAAGCAATACCGACTATGATGTGGTTCTTTGCATTTGATGTCCCGTAACTCAAGAAATCTGACTGTTCATTTAAAATCATTGATAATTAGGAAGTAAATTCTAAGAAGCAGCAGCTTTTCTTCTTTTCATAGTTTTTATCTCATAAGACAGTTTAATTTCATATACCATCTCATCTGGTATGAGTTGACTTTTGGGATAAATGGTGTGAAGCTACCTTTCATTACTCTCTGGAGGCCCAGAATGTGTTACAGAGCAGACTTTAAATTCACATTCTATTTAAGCATAGTAAGAGCTCTTATTCTGTTCAGAAGCTTTTGCTCTAAAGATAGAAGGTTATGGAATGTATATACGAACCAGTACACCGGCGATGCGTGAGTTACTGTTGCTGTAAACTTTCTGAGGCCTTCAGTAACTAGAACTTTTGCATGAAAAACCATATCCAGATAATACAGTCTGCAAGTCTAACCATAAGACTTATGTAACAAAATAACTGGTTCAGTTATGTTTGCTACTGTGTGTATGTGTTTTCTGTAGTTGCGTTAAGCCAGATTTTAAGTATGGAAGAATATCTGTGACACGTGATGTACTTACAGTCTCCACAAACCTCTGTTGCTATTAAGTACAGTAAAACACCTTAGAAGCAGTGCGTTTACTTGGCTGTATTGAGGCAGATTGTTATCTTTATGAATATTACTTACATTTTTGACAGTGACACCAATGTGAGCGTTTTGTTTACTTGAATTACTTTTTTCTAAATTCCTGATTTTTTGCTGTTTGCAGAGGGAATGCTTTTATCATCTTCTAAATATTTAATTCACAAAATTAGGTCATCTTCAGCAGAGATAGCTGTATAATTACTGCGTGTGTGTAAAGGTGGTCTGCAGTACTTAATAGTTGTGTGTATATTGGTAAGGGAGGGGGGAAATGAGACTCACATTTTCTACAGCAAAGATGTTGACGGTGCACTTTCTTCTGCTGACACCTAGTGGTTAGAGCCAACATTTAATTGGTTTTCTTTCCCAGGCAATCTTTGTTGAGAAACAAACATCCTAACACCTGTGGGTACCGGTGAGCTCACGGTGTAGGTTGACCAAAGGCAGCAGCATGTAGGGTACGAGACAAGAGGACGTACTGGGTTTAGGTTTGGGGTGCTGGTGCAGCTAGCCTAAGCCATCTGGCTGCTTTTTCACCTAGCTCGGGTATGAGAGTTAACAGCAGGCTCCAAGTTTGACGTACAGTCTTCTCAAGTGACAAGCTTTCTGTCTGTTCTCTGGGTACGTGGGCACTCCAGTGAGCTTTGCAAAGGGAATCGTGTATGCTTAATACAACATTTTCTGGCCTGACAGATTTGAAAAGCTTGTTTACTTACGCTTTGCTTTAAAATCTGTATATTCTGAACAGGTATTTCTATTTCCGCGTCTTGGTTCCTTTTGTCTGTATTTCATTGCTATAAATACACAGTAAGGTGAAAACTATTTTTCTTTTGCAATGCTGCTACCTTTTGTATGGTTAATTAAGGGGGGGTAATTTTAACATTCATAACCCAAATAGATATCAGTATCTAAGTGCTCCTGCAGGTAGGTTTCTCTTTAGCTTTGCTGTTTTGCACTGATAACTTCTTATACGCAGGCACTGTAAAATTTGGTGTCTCTTTCAAAGCACCGTATACATGGTATACTGAGGTGAGAGGTATATCTAATGCGATGTGAGCTAAGGTAGCCCGTTTTATTTCTGACACACCACTGAAGAGACATGTCTGTGCATGAGATTCTGGTGTTTGTTTGGGTTTGAATCAAGATGTCCTGATTTGCTTTTAAAAGGCTGATTTAGTTGTTATGAATTTGTTAATCTAGT